TGCCACACCGAATCACGCAAAGTATTGGGGTATTTTCGCAGATTTTGGTCTGTGCGGTGGCGGTTACGGAACGTCAGTCACAGTACCGTCGCAGGGTGAAAAAGCCAAGGAGGACCTGATAAACGTACTTTACGACCTATTGCTGACGGATGGTTGTGACCGCCCGACCTAATGCGACCAGCGTAAACATGGCCCCAACTGCTGCAAACCGAGTTGGTCCCCAGGCCCAATGGTCTAAAGCCAAGCTTAGCGTCTTCCAGGCCTCCGCCCTCTGGCTCAAAGTTGGCGATCGGTGGACTGTTGGTAGCCCGAGGAGCTCTGGGAAATTTGACGCGCGTTCAATCCTTTAAGTGAAGCTAAGCTGTGCCGAAAAACCTAGAAGTAATGTAAAGTTGTCTTCCTCATCGGGAATCATCAGCAGTGCGCATCTCACGAAACTCTTCAGCTGAGTACGCTCCAAAAGGCCGCCCCGTTTTTCATTTATTACCCCATTAGAGATAAACTACCACAACAGTCCACGCGGATGTGTATTTCGTAGATTGGGTTCACTTTGGGTTCAAGTAGAATGCAAGGTTGACCGAAATTCGAGGACTGCAGCTACCTGATAACTCCAAAGAAAGATAACGATAGTCGTAGGTTTTCGGGGATTGTTCAACAACCCTTTGAATTATGTGCCTTGTCTACCCAAGCTTTTGTCCGCCAGGGTTCCGTTTGTTCGCATTTAGTTGGCCACACAGAATCTGGTTCGGAATCCTCTTCTGGGAAAAATGTTCCATTCATGGCAGGTGGTTGAATGCGATCATTTTTTACCAATCCATCACAAGGTGTCCACCGGATAACCTTCACGTCTAGCACTCATCCAGTCCGATGAACGCCAAGCATCCGCCTCAAGCAGCACACGCGAAAACTGTTCAACCAGCGGAGATTGTGTCGGCACAGTGTTTCCATGCCTCACAAGAGACTTATAGACTGCAGCTTGGTCTCCATCTGCAGACTCCGGTTCCTCCACACCCATTCTCGGGTGTGTAACAGAAGGGACACTGGTCTTAGCAACACGGGATCTCAGCCCACGTTTGACGGTCTAGTCATCAGTTAGTTTGTTGTCGAGGTATCCAAAGTACGTGCAGATGTTCACAAGGTCTGTTCCAGTCTTGATGTGCGGATGAGCGTTATGGGCTTGAACCGGCGATATGATACAACAGCACAACACCCCCTCTCCTTCGCTGGAGTTTGTCTGACTGTACCCACACAATTTTTTGGTGACCTTGTACAACAAGTGGTGTAACCACGGCTACTACTGTGGTAACCTAAGCAAGGTCTCTGTTACTAACTTGATCGGTTGGTTGTTGATCTATTCGCCCAGCTTGACAACTAGCTAGTACGTTTCGTCACAAATCGAGGGCGCATCATCAGTGCGTGCACTGATGTGAACTTGCGCTAACCGGTTATCCATTTGCAAAATCCAGAGACCGGGGGATCTACTTCAGTGCAAGCCAATTTGGCGGATACAATACATAGTATATGCCCCACCTGTAGCTAAAAGAAGGAACTGAGTGTTCAAGCCACAAACAGAAACTCCATAAAATCTACTCCCCTGTATTCTATTGTCTGACTGCTAGTGAGTGGCTCATTCTGAGGTGTGGTATACCAGTGTGCGAACTTTGAAAGTTGGCTTTAACAGTACCTTAACTTCTTCCAAATATTCATACACCGCGGGTGAACTGATGAAGAGTCGAACTATTTTCCAGTTGGTGCTTGTTGCTGTGAGGATGATAAATTGTTGGAGCGCTGTTAGTTTGAATATCAACCAGTTGTTTACATAACTGAACATATACAGAATGAAACTGCGTTGTAATTGAAGGATCCATTCTATCAGTTAATCGAGTTACCAAGTAACGAAGACGAAGGGTGAATACGACACCACGTATAGAACATCATCCTTTTTTATTTAATGCGGCCATTTGATTATCAACGACATTTGGCTTTTGGAGGCAAAGGGTGTTTTTCAATCTATTCAGGTTTTTCGAAGTACGTTGACCAGTGTCGTCCCCGGCCGATGTCATCAGTAGTTAGAAACCAAAGTTAACGATGATGCAAAAGATGCTCAGTTTATGAGTAGAAAGAATTCACTATAGTACATCCTAGGTTGTCGCCAGATTGAGCGTATGCCTCAATGATAGACACAACTCCACTCAAGTAGATACCATAAGCCTACCGACTACTGGTACCCGACTCACCATCGACCAGATATTCATGGTCAGGTTCCGACTGATAAGTCAAAATGGTTGAAGTAACGATGACAACAAATTAAGTATACCAACGGCGAACTATGTTGTTGGCCGATTGCCTGGATTCTCATAATCTCTGGGACTTGAGGACACCCTTCCCACATCCATCATTAGTTATCCCACTTACGAATAATACTTCTGTGGTGCTTGCTGTTATGCTGTCATTGAATGACTGACTAACGTGCTGTCTAACGCCTAATCTGTCAGAAAGCGGAGAAACTACCGAACCGGACGCCAGCCGCAGTTGACGAAGGCTGACACTGAACAAAACTGCATGACCACCAACAGTGTATATAACACAAGGTCGTTTGCTGACAGCTGGTAAATTACAGCTGACAGACGTCACCAAAGGTGATCATACGCAGACTAGCACAACTGCACTTCGTCGACTGCAACAAGTTCTCTCTGATTTCACCCAAATATTTTCTACTGTATAATTCGGAACAAGCCGATGGATTGATCAAAACAACCCATTCAATTGTCCCGATCTTCATTTTGGAATTTGTTGTGGTCGTACGGCTATTTTACTATTGAACCGAGTAGTATCGGCTGTGATTCAATGACGACTCCACTAACTAGACTGATACCGCTGAATACAGGCTCACATTCACGTTACTCGGGCGATTCGAGTGGGGTTACTCGTGCATCTCAGTGCCTCCACTTCGTCCCCTGCGAGCATATACTTTCCTCCTACACGGACGTATTTCATTGCTTCTGCGATCATCACGATATCTATCCAGTAGTCAAACAGCCCATTCTCTGGCTCTGACATGTAATCTTTACGACTTGGTATGGTATGGCACGGTATCTTGCGCTCTCCTTAGACTAGCCTCCAAGAAAACACTACCGACGCTTGCTGTGACTCAGTTTGACGGTTGTGGTTTGTAGGCCATGTTTTGTCTTTTGATTCATCTGGCTAACTTCCTTACATGTGAATGTTTTGTGTGTTTCAGGCTCGAAGGGGAAAACTTTTGAACATCATCCTTAGGGTTTGTCTCACATGAGAAGAACCAGTTAATAGATAATGCGTGAGAGTAACGCGATGCTTATCCTACTCTTGAGTCCTAAATGAAACTATGTACAAAAGTGCAATTTTATATCATCATCTTCCTCATTAAGAGCATCCCTGTCGACGTTGACGCTTCACTGTCGCATAACTACAGGGTTCATTCAGTTCTATTCAAGAAAAGAAAAAGATTGGATGGGCACGAGACTTGTTGCCTGCCTGTCGCAAACACTCTGAGGTACCTGAATGTAGAAACACTCAACAGAGTATTCTGGAAGGATAGGGTTTAATGGTTGTCCGTCAACTGGATCCTAAGGCCACTTTGGGAAAGAAACTCAAACACATGTTAACGGACACTTAGTCGTTTCAACACAAGGTTTTAGCCCCCTCCTAACTAGCTCCGCAATGGAACTGCTTTGGAATGAGACACATGCACACGCATGTGTCTTGCCAATGTGCAGCTGAAGTCACTTTGGCAGGTTGCATAATTTTGCAAACCGTAAACAAAAGTAACTATGAGGAAACGTTTGGAACCGATTAAGAGGCCATCGTCTCAAACGGGTGTGGTAAACAGTCAATGGTTCTATCGCTGGACAAAATTTTGCATCTGACACAAAATCTGAATCAGGCCACTTGAGTAGATTACCAATTCGGTCGCATTTGTGTTAAAAGCGGAAAGTTGCCTAGCTATAAAAGCACCAAATATTTACCAACTCTTCCGAAACCAAGAATGACTCTACTAAAGAGAAGTCTCAACAACAAATTAGTGATATATTCGAAAGCGATTTGCGTTTTGTTGACTATGGTTTAAGTCACTTTACCCGGAGGAAAAGCGACTTGCCGAAGCATCTTCAAAATCTGTATCATCGAGTACACGTAACAGTGAATGAGACTTCCATGTGGTCGTATACAAAATTGTGATGTACTACTTCGGATAAAGGGTCAAGAAAGATGAGTATTGGTCCCCTCTAACTTCGGTCTTTTCCGGATAAATTCCAGGTTATTTTACACTTCATTTCAACAAATTTATCTAAGCAAGGTTTCTTGCATAATTCCTCAATTAAAGTCAGCCAAAAATTATTCCTGCTGTTTTTTTCTCATTAGTTATCTGCAGTAATTCCGTGAAACGATACACTGATCAGTATGCATAGTTTTTCGTTCCCCTCACCATGGGGTCAATACTTGTTTTCACAACCAAACAGAAAAATGCTGATGTATGAACCGTTAGAAGGTTTGGACTCACAAATCTTCGCTTTTTACTGAAGATATTTCCTCGCGGCGGGAAGTCTCTGAGGATGAAACTATACGGTGACTATCCTTTTACCACATCACTTTCATTTACCTAAGAGTAAAATTTTCATCAGGAAATTACGGGATAGAGCTTTAAGCCTGTTTCATCATCATCATCGTCATCATCATCATCGACAGCATGACATCAGTGTTCAACACCGATGCTTCACTGCCGTACAACCATGACCTATTTGAAAGCTTTATTGTAAAGAAAAGAGTAAAGGTGGACAGGGGAGGGACTTAGTGCTAGCTTAACACAATCATTCCGAGGTGCCTACACCTCCAGACATTCATTATGTCAATCTGGTTCTTCTACGTGTGATTTTCTCCAGTTCTGCCACAGTTTGCTTGAATTATTTTGTAGGAACTAAACTTTGGCGCACTCTAATTCCACTATCATCATATATTCCTTGCAGCCGGACACAGCTGAGGCACTTTTGGATGCAACAGTCAGAACACCGTGGTTCACCAATAAAAATGTCGCACGTCGGAAAGAACCAGTGGCAGTAGAAGTTATGCGAGGAATCACAACAATAAGGCAGCAAGACCACTTGATGGAGGCGGTAGAGGCGTTGGTTCAGCTCAGAAGGTATGTGACAATTCTCAATTTATGCACTTATCAAGAGATTGTCAACTTACCGTGAGCATCTGTCACCATTTGTATACCATGATTCAACCGTTTTATTGTGGCTGAATTCGAAGCACATGCCTCAAACGAAAAAAAATAATCAATGTTTAAGGCGCATTATCCGCACGATGCTATTATCTGCAAAACCTTTACAAATGGAATAAACCTTTTGCACCAATATGTTGCATTTTGTTGATTATGTGCTCACACGAAAAACCATCCTAATCTGCATTCAAATTTTTGCAGCACACCAAATTACATTGTCAAATGAGCCAATCATACTCCTGGCGGAAAAATCTGGTGGAATAATTTTCAAGCATTGCTGAGAACCCGGGATGACTAAATGGGGCTCATAAGTTTAGACTAGTAATCTGAACTCATTTACCCAGTTGCTTTAGTCCATCAGGGACACGCAATAGCTTTCGAAATTTCAATTCCGTTGTGCGAATACTGAGCGCCCGCACACAGAAATTGTGCAAAACTATCTGAATCTTCCGCGTCAAGATAATGGATGGGAAAGGTAGTTTATTATTATTCACATTGCTTGCATTCGAACAAACTTCTTATAGAGTCCTGCGCAATTACTATGGTCAGTTCGCACCAAAAAAGGGAAGTCTCGGCCATGGATTTCATTCCCATTGTAGTTCGTCAACAGTGCGCATCCTTGTCCCCTGGAGATATAAAGTGAGAGGTAAGAGTGATACCAACACTTCACCACAGCACGCTGGACGTACCGGAATTATCATATCTTAACAGTCAAACGTATTCACACTTGAGTGATACTCCATGAATTCCGTTACCAGTTGCAAGAAAAATTAGTTTACATAGTAGTAGACTCAGTAACAGAATTGGATCACCCATAGGCTCATGATCATTGTAGCTGGATGAGGCGAAATATTCAGCATTTAGAACTTGACTAACAACATATGGCAGGCAACTACTGGGTGACATAGTCTTATGTAAATTATTGCTTAGGCGCCTTCAACGCCTTTGAGTTCACACCGTTTTGAGTCTGCTGGTTGGTCGAGTCACTTCAACGTGATCGTCTCTTCAGTACTCGATGATCTGGGACCATCTGAGCGTTTGTCGGCTACGTCCAGTCAGTGGGTGAAATGAGGTAGATGCATACAAAGGGGAAATGAAGAAACCAAAAAAATATGCGCCACAAGTAATATGGCCTCCTGAAAACTACACAAAATCTGCCAAGTGACTAGTGCCATATTACAAACACAAATTTTGAGTTAACTCTCATTGCACAGGGTGGTGGGTGGTATATATATATATATATATATTTCACATCTCGACGCTTTTTT